TTAGAGATATTTTTAAACCTGCGCATCCAAACTGGTCTGTAGGTTAGTAGAATTGTTTCAATGATGTGGGGTCGTAGACTGCGAGGTGAGCGCAGGGGACAATTAACCTCACCCCCACCCCATACGACTTTTTTTTTTTTTGAAAAATCATATTCAAATTTTCAAATGTGTTGTTTTCATCCTTTTCTATTGTCTCCTTTCATCAGGGACCACACTATTCCGTTTTTCAACGGCTTTTCCACAAGTAATTTTCTCCGCCCTATTAACTGTAATGTCCATCTGTATCATTGGTGATGTATTTCTTATGCATCTATGGCTGTGTTAGATATACGTTGATTTTTAGCGTTAAGATGACCTTAGGTATTTCAGTTCTAGGGTCTCATTTCATCTACACTGTAAAAAGTGTTTAGCTTTTAAACACATATAACACGCGTTTAAAACCTAAACGCGTTTAGGAACGCCGATAGCTTTTCTAGAAGAAAAGGAGAAAATGCTAGACATGTTAAGCATTGTTACACGTTAAGCTATGTGTTTAACTTCGCTATGTTTCTATAATAATTAAGTTTATCGCAAAGCTAAACACATTGGCTAAACACTTCCTCTGCTCAGTGCGTGGAGCTGCTAAACGCGTGGAGCAGCTCCTCTGATGCTGAGTGGGCTTCTATGCAATAATTTGTTACTATTCTTAAAGTCATAATAACACTTCGTTTTGGCCAAAAATTGGATTTTCCTGGAGTAAACGGCAATTTTCCCGTACTTACCAATGGTCAACGACCCCATTCTTGCATTCAAAGTTAGTCCAGGCACTTGGATGTTTTTACAGTGTACGTTGTAATTGTGTACCTGTGTTTTGTACCAAAAATAAAAAAAAAATCAGGTCATTTTAATGTTTTCTCATGCAAGAATGTTGTCTAACAATGTTGTTATCTGACGTTGATCCAACGTTCAAATCTAACGTTTATCCAACGTCTTATCAACGTTATGGTTCAACGTTGTTTCAACGTTAAAACAACATAATTTGCCCACTGGGATGTTCGGACATTTTACTTAACAAAATTTGATAAAACTCCTTGTAATACCATAAGAAAGAGAGAGAGAGAGAGAGCAACTAAATTTGGTTGAAAAAAGAACAGTTCTAAATGTCAGATGAACTAGAATGAACCCGTGACCATGCAACCCTGATAGATCTAGACTGCGCACGTTAAACACCCTGAGCTTCAGAGATAACTTGAAACAAACCGAACGGCAAGGGCATGCCATAGTGTAGACATTGGTTTCAAGTTATCTCCGAAGCTCAGGGTGACGTTGTATGATATCTTAATCAAAGTGGACGAAATGCACGTCCTCGATTTGTGACTGTATGATGAAACATTTGAATGTACAAACTGCCCCAAACTGTACATTTTGTAGATTTTGTAGGCAATCGACCTGTGAAAGATGATGGTATTAGGAAAAGCATTTCATGAAATATGCAGGTATAACAGTAGTGGTATATTAGTTCCCTCGAAGCAGAGAGTGGCGAGTTTGTCAGATCAAAATTAAAACAAAAAATAAGTCACTAAATAGCGTCGGCATATCGAATCATGCTACTGGCTCTTTTGATCACGTGAAACTTTATATTTCAATTATATCACCTAAGCTTTGATTAAAAAATAATAGATTTTTTTTTTGCTCCGAGCTTTAATGATCCACTGATGCATATGAAAGACTAATTGTTCTCTTTTTTATTTACAAACTTGACATTTAATATGGAATATTTTAGTTTCGAAGGTATGCCTCGGTAAATAGCGCTCTTTTTTCAAAGAAACCCGATATCATATAAGATATGTGAATGGAGAAGTGTGTAGAAAGGTGTGTCGCTACTAATTAACTGACTACCATGTTTATTGCACTGCTGAATTGTGTAATATGCAATGATTTAATTGGGTAGTGCTCCTTTGGACTGGTCCAAACTTGAGTGTGCCAAAGCATGGTTCTATCAAAAAAGTATCCATATGTCGGCAACTACTGCATAAAAGAATTGGAAATTTTGCATGCATGTGGTCGGTTTTGCAGTGCGTAAAATTGTTGTTGCACTGACGGTTGTTCAAACTCTGAGATGTCAGTTGAGCGTGGTTCTAACGATGAGCAGAATGGGCAGTGTCCAAAACAACATGTGTCCACTGATGTTAATGCAGCATCCATTACTACTATTACTTCCCGGGTGTGAGACTAATTTGTGAATGGCCAGTCGATAGCAACATGGGACGCTGCAGTTGCAATTGACTGTGTTTCTTAACATTATGATTTTAAAATATTTACATTTGAAAATGAACCTGTGGGTGATTGGTTTAATTTTGCAGTGACGAGTAATCTTTTAACGTTCAATACGATGCATGTATAAAAAAACTGAGGGTCTGTGCAAACAGAGACCGCTCTCTGTCATATGTGCACGGCTATGACATTATTTACCAGTACAGTGGGGAACTGTTTATGTATCACAGGAGACTATTTCGTATGACCCGTTTCATAATTAGGAAACAGGATTTTCTGTGAAAGAGAGTTTAGGTCATAAGTAAGTTTCAGATAAATACGTTTTAAATTCTCGGATTTATTTGTTTCAATACATCCAGCATATATTAAAGTGATTGTGGAAGGCAAGAACGTCCAATAAAAGGTATAGGGTTGTAAATTATCATTTTTTTTTTTGCAAAATGCTGAGTCCAACTAGAAACATAAATACCGCTTCACAGATTTCTTATACGACTAAAATAAAGTCGATATGTCGATTGGCCAAAAAAAGTTTTACTTTCTTCAAAATTTTGTTTATAAACTAAACTATATTTTCCGTCTCTTCAGTTCGTAAAAGTCCCATATATTGGTCGGCATTTGGTTGGGTTTTGTGGCAAAAAAATTGACTCTGATTGCATCTTTAACAGTTTGTCAGCAGTGCATTTAATGGACCTTCACACTTAATGCGATCCTTGAGAGTCGCACCGAGCGCGATAGTTGAGCCTGGCACTTACTGCATCCTCTTTGTAATCCCATTACAAACTTTACAGGTAACTTTAGCTCTTCATTTCTGCACATTAAAAAAAGTAAATTTATTGCAACAGTTGCACCGAATGCGATAGTTGAACCTCGCACTTTTTGCATCCTTGTAATTTCGTTATAATCTTTACAGGTAACTGTAGCTCTTCATTTTCGCATATTTTAAAAAGTAAATTTATTGCAATAACGTCCCAAAAGCAGATGAATAAAGATAAGGAGAGAAATAAGAATGTTTAACAATAAATTGGTGCTTTCAGGATGAAGTATTAATGACATTCTGGAACTTGCCTGGTAAAATTCAACGAGTTTATGGATCGAAATTCTGTGCATGGGTCTGTACAGTGGCTTGATGACTAGAAAAGGGAGTTAACATTTGCAGGTAAGTTAACATTTGCCATATCAAGGTGAAAAAGGTTAGGGTGTGCCTCAAATTATATAGGTACCCTAAAGCGGATCACTCAACTCCCCTATTAAGTTGTACACATTGTCATTTCTCCCACAGAGTACAAAGAGTGGACAATACTAGTATCACGATATATTTGTCTGACAGCTGGGCGTGGAGAGATATGCTCGTTGAACATTGCTTTGAGAGAAAAGAATTATAAAATTAATGCATTTGTTAATTACTTTCGAACCAACCGAACTCTGTATGCATGTAGTATTTATGTACTGTTGGGGCGGTATCTTATGCAATATTACACTTAATGCCATTATAGCCAAAGTCTGCGTTTTGTTTTTCGTCCAAGTGTGAATAAAGGTGTTTTCAGAGCAACTTTCTATTAACAGGTATAGTAATTATGGAAGCACTTAGATGACACGTACGCCACACAATGTTATGATCCTGTTCCTTTTGTTAAACACCTAAAAACCGTACTTAGACAAGGGATCCATACAGTGGGCACATTATTTTATGCAATAGTTCACATAATTCTCAACATAATCATAGACGCAGCGAAACGATTGGTTGGAATTTTGAGTTTGTTCATTTATCGTATATCGTCCAGGTGTGAGTGAAAGAGTTTCGAGAGATACGTTATTTAATGAAGTATATTATAGTGGTTACTTAGTACACATTTTATTTCAGACTTACGCTGTCGGTTATACCGTACTAGTACATCAGATCCACTAATCTGTGTGATCAGTTACACATAACAGAGACAACTGTAGATAGACCTGCGTTTCTATTGACATCTTTTCCTGAACCCACCAGCACTGCTGTCTGTTGCGGTGTACAGAATAAACTTAATCTTGAGGCTATATAAGGCAGCATTTGACGATGGCTGAAACTGACTACCTGTACGAGTTTGAATATTATGATTACAGTGGTACGTCAGATGGTAATGGGAGTTGGTTTTATTATTCCGAGCTTTCTCCTGAGCAGAGGTGCTGGCTTAACTTCAAGACATGTTGGTGTACTGTAATACACGTCTTGACGGTTATCGGCCTGATAAGTAACTGTCTCACATTCTTCGTGGTTCTTCGACGTCCGAGCCTAAGGCGGAAGTCAACTTTTGTCTACATTTTGTTCCTTGCCGGTGCGGATCAGTTACGACTCACGCATATAGCGTGCGAATGCATCTTATGGGATACTATTCATAAAACAACGGAACTCTCGTGCAGCGCTGCTTCGGCAGGTAATTTTTTTAGTGACACGTTTCTACTTCTATCAGTTTTTTACGTATTGGCGGTGACTGTAGAGAGACTTATTATAGTTTATAAACCACTGCAAGCAGCTCCTCTGTGCACCCGACGAAAAGCTTTGTTGACATGTATTGCTCTGATTCCGTTGGCTTTAGGCTTGAGTTCTCCTAACATTGCAGAGTGTTTTTTATCAGCAAAGGCAGCGCTTAATATTAATGTTGCTTTAAATTATATCGTGGTGTTTGGAACAATATTTGTATCTGTAGCAATAGCTGCTATGACGTTTGCTATTGTATATAAACTAAGACAGATCCATTCTGTAAGACAACAGTTGTCTGGTCGTCAGCAGCAGCACTCGGGTAGCGGTGGATCGACGAACAATAAAACAAACACTCTGCTATTAACGACATTGACCGCGTTCATCGTGCTGACTTGGCCGCTTTCCGGGTTTGATCTCTACTGGACGATATCAATGGCTGCGTACACTGGTATAGGTTATAGCATCCCCGCGGGACATTTGCAGGTTCGGGATGGGCTGTTTCTTCTAAGTTTGTTGAATCACAACATCAACTTTTTTCTCTTCGTTGCATCGGCCCAGATCTTCAGAAACGAACTGATAAATGTGTTTAAAAACTGCTATTGTTGTTGTACTGGCGGATGTTCAAAGTCTAAGATGACAGTTGAGCGTGGTTCTAACGATGGGCAGGATGGGCAGTGTTCAAACCAACATGTGTCCACTGATATTAATGCAACGTCCATTACTACTATACATGTAACTACCCGGGTGTGAGACTAATTTGTGAATGGCCAGTCGATAGCAACATGGGACGAAATGTCATTTTGCGAAAAATAGCTTTACTTTCTTTCGAATACACGTGAATTGGAGTGTGCAATGCAAAGGAGAACCAACCCCATAAAAACGAGGACCAACTCCCCCAACTTGTTTAAGAAGAATGGGACAATATCCCACAAAACAGAATTGTTACCCGTGTTGGAGGCTTGTCGCGCCGTCTACAGGAGATAATTGCAGTACGCGGTAGACGCACACGCTGTTATGCACGTGATCTTTAACGAGCACACCCTAATGCTAATTGTGTGTGAATTTGGTGACATTTGATGGCGTCTTTTCAATTTTATAGACATTTATTTACATGTGTAGAAGTCACAGTGAAACAGTCGATTTGAGGGGGTACCTCATAAATTTTACTAAATGGTTTAAAATGTTGTATAGGAAAAGGTTTGACGCAAAATGTATATAACATGATTTTTTGCCACGTGTTTGTATATTTATGATCATTCGTACTAAATCACTTTGAAAGTGGGCTATTTTATACTTATAAAAATTTAGTAACAAAAGATATGCATTGGCATGGAAGTACAGGAAGTAGGAAAAGAAGAATTATATCTCGCTTTCGACCAATCGTGGGGCTCATGAGTTAAATAATACTGAAAGATAATTAAGGTCACAAGTAAGTTTCGTTTTGAATTATTGGATTCTCTCAATTGCATACAATTGGCATATATTAAAAGCGATTGTGGAAAACAAGAACGGAATAAAAAGTATTACCTCGTTTATGTCAATTTTCCTTTACAAACCATTAAGTCAATTCGTAGAAAGAAACTCGGATTCAGTTTTCGTTTTTTAACGGATTTGGACAGGGTATATCTAAAAAAATAGAGGAAAATTGATAGAGTTTCAAGGAAAATTCTTTTTATTTTTGCTTTAAAATTGCACATATGTCGAGCGTAGATTTCCAGTGCAACATTAAAACCACTAAAAAGTCGATATGACGAGTCGTTCACTAAATTGCTCGTTCTGCCTAAAAAAGCTTCTTCGAATCCTTGTTTGTAAACTGAACTTTCTTACATCTCTCCAGTTTGAAAAAGACCTGTAAATCAATCAGGGGTACTTTGAAATGATGTCTTTAGCAATTTTCTGAAGTATATTTTTGAGTTATAAATATATGGTGGTATTTCTTCGGGATTTGTACCAAAAATGGACTTTGAATGCATCTTTAACAGATCACCATGGTCACCAGTGCGATAGTTGACATTCACACACACTTATTGCATCCTCCTAATTCCATTACAATCTTCACAGGTATAACTGTAGGTGTTCATTTCTGCACATTTTAAAAAGAAAATTAATTTGGAATAACGTCCCAAAAACAGATAAATGAAGACAATGAGAGATAATATGAGTGTTTAAGAATAATAAATTTGAGCTTTCAAAATTATGTATCAAACCAATTTTGTTCTTGCGTGGTAAAACTTAACTACAATCCTACCCTATAATATCCGAGGTATATATAAATAGTACATAAATTAAAGTATGGAAGGGGTTTCGAAAATAGTATACCAAATTAAAGTACAGGTAATGCTATAGCCAATGACAATACTAGTGGCTATTACGTTGTACGTATTGTCATTTGTCCCACACAGTATATGGAGTGGACAATACTAACATCACGATAGATTTGTCTAACAGCTGGGCGAGGACAGATATGCTTGTTGAACACAGCTTTGGGACAAAAGAATTATTATATTGACGCATTTGTTAGTTACCATTAAACCAGTCGAACTCTGCGTGCACATAATAAGTATATACAGGTACCGCTTCAATGTCAGCATAATTCAAACCTCAGCACTTTGTTTATCGCCCACGTGTGAATAAAATTATAAACAGCGTTTTTTTTTATCTTGTAACAAGTAGAGTAATTATGGAAGTAGTTCGTTTCAATTCGATTTATTAAATCTTTGAGCCCTACGGCTCATCAGAATATAATACAGTAACAATATAAAGTTATATCTACTCAACTACCATTACTACAACAACTACTACTGAAACAAATAATAATAATAATAATAATAATAATAATAATAATAATAATAATAATAATTCATCGGACTGACATTAATCTTAGTTCCGATGCACATTTAAGGTATTTTCCTAAGTTGTTTAATTATGAGACATTGATAGTAATTTAATTAATTTAAAGACACTTGGCTTTGTATAATTAAATTTCTTATATATTTCTTCCTAATCGTACTGTAGTGAGGGCAGTAAAGTATAAAGTGAAATTCATCCTCTACAATGTTTAAATTGCATAAATTACAGATTCCTAATTTCTTATTTGTGTCTGTGTGCCGGCCAGTCTCTACTGCTAGATTATGTGATGAAAGCCTAAATTTTGCGATAAATTCCTTATTTTCCTGTGAAATTGGCTTATTCAAATAAAATTGCATTGTGAAATTATCAACAAGATGTTGATACAGAAGCCCTTTACTCGCTGTGAATATTTCTCCTGTCAGTACTTGTCTAAAATGATCTTTCAATCTTTGTTCTATCAAGGACAGTATACAAACATCCGACATTATTTCATAAAAAGTAAATGACAGACCCATTAATTCAAGGTCATTCCGTACACAATTTATCCACTCAAAATTATTGTTAAGGATATCTTTATAGCACGTTTGTATAAAACAATTTTTTGAAGAGTGGATTTTCAGCCAATATTTAAAAATTCTTAGTTTTCTACCTAAAATAAGTGGATATCTCATATTTGGATATCTCATATTTCATAATACACTATTACTAGTGTTTCTTTTAACACCCAGCATTCTTTTTAAAAAATCCGTATATACCATTCTTATATCCTTTCAATTTGCCTTATTGAATCTCCATATTTCTGATGCATAATTTAAAATACTACCAACGTACGTTTCAAATACTGCACACCTGGTGGACACGTTAAAGTTATGGTTTTTTAACATGCTGCTAATAGCAAATAATGCTTTTTTTAAACATGTTCTGCTAATGTTCATGTTTTTGAGTTTGACAAAACTTACCATTAAAATAAAAAAGTAAACCGAGGTAACTAAACTGATTCACCCTTTCTAAGACAACACCGTTATATTTCCATGTCTCTTTAGCCCTTAACTTACCCCCATTTCTAAAGACCTTTGTTTTTGTTTTTGCTGTATTTACCGTTAACTTTCACTTTTGTGAGTATAATTGCAGGATATCTAAAAGTATGTGTAGTCCTTGAGGAGTTTCCGATAAAAGTACCGTGTCATCAGCATACATAAGTAAGAAAAGATTTATGTCCCGTATTTCTATACTATCACAATTCTCCGATAAGCAAAAAGTTTCAAAATCATTTTCATACAAAGAGTAAAGTAGCGGGGACATTACCTCTCCTTGTAATAGACCTTTGTGTATTTGGAAATATTCAGATAGCTGACCTTTAAACTTAACACAAGCCTTTTTACAATGCGGAGCAATTTGCCTTGAACACCGAGTTTATTTAATTGCTTCCATAAACTTGGCCTATCGATGGAATCGAAAGCGGATTTATAATCCACAAACGCACGTACATGTAGTTAGAAAACACGTATACCACAAACAAATACTTAAAAGCGAGGGATATCTATATGAAGAGTAGGGCTGCATATACATACATCTTATGCAATTTTCCACTTAATTGTCAACAGAGAAGCAGTTCAAGCGATGGGTTGGAATTTTGCTTTTGTTATCGTTTATCGTCCAGGTGTGAGTGAAAGTGCTTCGAGCAACACTAATTACGGAAGTGCATTATAGTAGTACTTAGTACACACCTTAATTCCGACTAACGCTATCCTTTGCACTATCCATCAGTCCCACTATACAACATTGGTCAAAAAGGTTGTCCCACCCCCATTTCCATGTACTTTTATTTACAAATGATCACATCACAGCTGTAAAGTGTTAGAAATAGTGCCTTTAATTACAGATACCGTGCCTAATATGATTAATGGTTAAAAAATACAAAATAGTGGTGAAAATATATCCACCGTTTCACTGTGACGTCTACAGATGTAAGGAAATGTCAATTAAATTAAAAATACGCCATCAAATGTCACCAAATTCACACACAATTAGCATTAGGGTGTGTTCATTAAAGGTCACGTGCCTAACAGCGTGTGCGTCTACCGCATACTGCAATTATCTCCTGTAGACGGCGCGAAAAGCCTTCAACACAGGTAACAATTCTGTTTTGTGGGATATTGTCCCATTCTTCTTAAACACGTTGGGGGAGTTGGTCCACGTTTTCATGGGGTTGGGTCTCCTTTGCATTGCACACTCCAATTCACGTCACAGTTGGTTAGTAAGTTTAATATCAGGGCTCAAAGATGGTGGTTTCATCCTTAGACCATTGTGTTTCTTCAACAAACTCTTGCCAGGCGAGAGCTATGAGCAAGTGTGTAGTCATGATGAAGCCTGGAGTTAACCCCAAAGTCAGTTCTTGAAGATGGAGTGACATATCAGCTTAGAATGCTACGTTCAGTGATCCCACAGGCACCTGAAACTGGCCATCCATCACTGGAAGGAAGTCGGGTTTGATGTAGAATCAAATTATTTCTTGTACCCCATCGATGGTCCAATGAGGGTCCATAGACATGTTAAAAATGTTTCTTGGAAGGGTGTGTGTAGGATAATATCGCCTTAGGTGTTAGATCAGTCCTCATTTAGAGTGCATGCTAAGCCCATGGTATTAATACATTGTTTCTTTTGGAACAAAACGTAACAGGGGCATTTTACTGTAACATTCTCAACAAAAATCTCACTCCATTTGCAAGAGGTGACTTCAGGGATGCTACTGGCTTCATTGTGACAACGCACTTGCTCACAGCTCTCGTCTGGCAAGCGATCTGTTGCAGAAACACAGGGCTCTGAGGAAGGGACTTTGAGCCCTGATAATAATCGTACTGAGCACCTGTGGCATTAATTAGAATGTGCATTGCAGATGAGAACCAATTCCCAAATAATCTGGACCAATTCCGCCACGCTCTTTAGGAACAATGGGACAATATCCCACATAACAGAATTGTTACCCGTGTTGAAGGCTTGTCGCGCCGTCTACAGGAGAAAACTGCAGTATGCGGCAGACGCACACGCTGTTAGGCACGTGACCTTTAACGAGCACAACCTAATGCTAATTGTGTGTGAATTTGGTGACATTTGATGGCGTCTTTTCAATTTATATAATAGACATTTCTTTACATCTGTAGAAGTCACTGTGAAACGGTGGATTTGAGGGGGTACCTCATAAATTTTACTAAATGGTTAAAAATGTTGTATAGGAAAAGGTTTGAAGCAAAATGTATATAACATGATTTTTTGTCACGTGTTTGTATATTTATGATCGTTCATACTAAATCACCTCATATAAATTTTACTAAATGGTATAAAATATGTATATTTTCATCACTATTTTGTATTTGTTAACCATTAATCATGTTAGACACGGTAT